GGGGTCTGATTGCTGAATGAGAGGGGTCTGATTCCTGAATGGGAGGGGTCTGATTCCTGAATGGGAGGGGTATGATTCCTGAATGGGAGGGGTATGATTTATGAATGGGAGGGGTATGATTTATGAATGGGAGGGTCTGGTTGATTACAACCACCTGGTGCACTTTCAGTGCTATAATAAGTCATGTTGCAGTGCCTGAATCCCTTTAGAGGTAGTTAAGCCTTAGGTAGTATCTCACCAAAAATTAAATAAATGGTGGCTGGGAGGGGTATGATTTCTGAATGGGAGGGTCTGGCTCATTAAAACCACCAAGTGAACTTTCAGTGTTACAATAAGTAAAGTTGCAATGTATGCTTCCCTTTAGAAGTAGCTAACCATTAGGGAGTATCTCACTAAAAATTAAATGGATTGTGAATAAGAGGATTCTGATTCCTGAATGGGAGGGGTATGATTCCTGAATGGGAGGGGTCTGATTTGTGAATGGGAGGGTCTGGTTCATTATAACCACATGGTGCACTTTCAGTGCTCTAATGAGGAAAGTTGCAATGTCTGCTTCCCTTTAGAAGTAGTTAACCCTTAAGGAGTATCTCACCATAAAATAAATTACTATTGGGGAATGCCTAAAATCTTACTTGTATCCTAGTGCAGACTCCAGGAAAAATCTGTGAGCCAATCCCACGGGCAGGAAATGACATGTATCAGAATTTTTTTTAACAGTTTCACAAAAGTAGAATTTTCCTTTAATCGAGTCGTTTTCACCGGTCTTAGTCCAATAAAAATTCGTACTTATCGACAAATTAGGTGAAAACCCCGAGGCCGGCCTCCAACACCTTTTGAGCTGGGGGTGGCCCTGCCGACACCACCCACATTGTTCAATTGATTTTTGTCAAAGGAGTCGGGTTAAAAAAATTGTTGACCAATCAGTGGCTGCGTCTCATCAACATGGATGGGGGGACATCTCTTTTATTTTCTATGTACACATTAATAGGTCAAATAAAATCAAACTAGATCAATAAAGCTTGATGAAGCACGGCCATTTTTCAAAATAAACTCTCCTGTAGCCACTCCCTGACTACATGCCCCCACCACCACCACCGATGGCTGCATGGCATTTCCCGGGGCAGGATTCCTGATGCTGACAGCGGCGACCCATGCCTGCACAACGTGCATTGATAAGACCACTTGCAGTCTCTATCAGAAGCTCTGTGACAGGGTGACAACGCAAGAGCACAATTGGGAGATAGGAACAGAGCGTTGTCATGCTATAAACAGGAAGTGCCTGAAGAAGGACCTCCATGGCAGGATCACCAGGGATTCTTTTAATAAAAGCTGCAGATTTAAGAAGACTGAAATTGTAAATTGCATTCACATGTATGAGATTTTAGTGATTGGGATCACATCTACTTCAAGTGTCCCAGCGAAAAGCAAAGAAGGGAAGAAACATAAAACACAAATACAGCTTCACCTGTCAAATGACAAACAGCCGCATAGCAGTATAGACTGACCTTGGACAGCACGTCCGCGTTGGGGTCATTTTGCAGCAGGACGGCGGCGGTTCGTGTGTCATCGTTTCGGGCCGCGATGTGCAGAGCTGGCAGTCGGACTTTCCCCTTCATCCCATAGCTGATGAGGTAAGCCACCACGTTCTCGTGACCCTGCTGCAGAGCTACGGCCAATGGGGTGAAGCCGTCCTGTGGAAGGTTTTTGGAGAAAGAGAAGATTCCGATGAGGGAAATAATAGAAGATGAGGATCCAGTCGTATTAAAGGAAGACTATGGCGAAGTGGCCGCCTCCTACCTGTCGTAAAGAACCTTTTCACTGACATTTTCACCTGTTATGTGCAGGGCCGCATTTCCCACAAGGCCAACCAAGGCCCGGCCTCGGGGCAGCAGGGAGTAGAGGGGCAGCAGGGGTGTGGAATTCCTTTCTCCCGATGCCCGGGCGGGTAGTTGTTTTCTACATTTATCCCTGCTTTGGGCAAGCAGAGCTAAATGTACAGCGGGGAAGCCGACGCTTGTTTTGTACAAGTGATCTCGGTGACATTGTATGCAGCCTGCAGGTCTGCCATTCTCCATGGGTGGGT